GCAAACTCAATTTCAGATGTATTTCAGGTTTGATTTTAAGTGGGAAAATAATAAGCTTTTAGAAGAAAACATGGGAGAGCGTCTTCATTATCTGTGAGGAGACAAAAGCACTAACTGTGAAAGGAAAAAATAAGATAAATTCCATTTATCAAAATATACCACTAAAATAATGGAGGAGGTAACAGAATAGAAGATATTTGCAATACTGTAATGTATCCAATAAAGCAGCGGTCCCCAACCTTTTTGGCACCAGGGACTGGTTTCCTGGAAGACAGTTCTTCCATGGACACAGGTAGGTATGGTTTTGGAATGAAACTGTTCCACCTCAGATTATCAGGCTTTAGATTCTCATATAAGGAGCGCACAACCTAGATTCCTTGCATGTGCAGTTCACAATAGGGTTCATGCTCCTATGAGAATCTAATGCCACTGCTGATCTGACAGGAGGTGGAGCTCAGGCGGTAATGCTTGCTTGCCCACTGCTCACCTCCTGCTGTGCGGCCCCATTCCTAACAGGCCACAGACTTGGGGATCCCTGCAATAAAAGATTTCTGGAATAGATTAACAATCCTCCAAATCAATAAGACAAAGCTATACAACCCAATTAAAAATAATAAGCAGAAGACTTTAATAGTCACTTCACAAAAGAGCAAGTGGGAATAACCAATAAGCATATGAAAAGGTATTCCACTTCCATAAACATCAGGAAAATTAAAACCCCACTACACACACACACACACACACACACACACCCCAAAATGGCTAACATGGAAAAGACAGCTAAAACTAAGTGTTGATGAAGGAGACACAGAGCAACTGGTTCTGTCATACATTGCTAGTAGGAGTATAAATTGGTATAACCACTTTGGAAAACTGGCAGTATTTGATGAAAGTAAACATATTCATATCCAGCAATTCCACAACTAGGTATATACTCAACAGAAATGCATACATATATTTTCCACAAAGACATGTACTGTAATTTCATAGTTATACTATTCATAATATACCCAAACAATTCAAAAGGATAGTTATGGAGTTTGAGACCAGCCTGGTGAGATCCCTTCTCTACAAAATATTAAAAAGTGAGCTGAGTGTGGTGGCACATGCTGTAGTCCTACCTACTTGGGAGGCTGAGGCAGGAAGATCTCTTGAGTCTAGGAGTTTGAGGGTGCTGTGAACTATGACCATGTGACTGCATTCCAGCCTGGGTGATAGAACAAGAACTTGTCTCTGAAAAATAAAAATAAATATATTATGGCACACAGATAAACAATTTGGCAATAGGAATGAACAATCTACTATTCTGTGTAGCAATATAGGTGATTCTTACCTTTACAATGATGAAAGAAGCCATAAACCAAAGAGACAATACTCCATTTTTATAAAGTTCATAATCAGGCAAAACAACTCAGTTGGAGAGAAGCATAAGTTAGTAAAGTTACCTTTCTTGATACAAATTTTAGTTACACAAAGGCATTCAACTTGTGAAAATTTGTTAAGCTGTGCTTTCTGGATATATGTTCTTATATGTATGTATGCTATATTACCCACAAAACATTGTTTTGAGATCTATCCATGTTGGATGTTAGGAGTTCTAGTGTATTCATTTCACTTGTGTGTGAACAGACTGCAGCTTATTTATTGATTCCCTTATTGGATTTCTAAATTATTTCTAGTTTTCCTCTGTTTCAAATAATGCTGTAGTCAATTGCTTTTTTTTTTTTTTTTTAAAAAAACATCTTATACAAATATATGAGAGTTCTTCTAGGAGGTGGCATTGTTGGGTTTTAGGGTATGCTCATGTTTAGCTATATCAGATACTATCAAATTGTTCTCCAAACAGTAATATAATTATAGGGTCACTAGAAGTGTTGGAGAGTTCCTGTTGTTGTATATTCTTGTCACCACTTGGTATTGTCAAACTTAAAAAGTTTTTTGCTAATCTTATTGGGTGTGAAATGGTATCTCATCAATATTTTAATTCGTGTTATCTGTTAACTAGTGTATTTGATCATCTTTCTACATGTTTATAGGTCATATGGATTTCCTTTTAGGTATCCTTATCTATTGCCCATTTTTTGCTTTTGGGAATTGTCTATTTTTATTGCATATTTTTCTAGGGACTAACTATATTTTTCTTCATTTATGTACAATTTTCCTTGATTCTCAAAGTCCATATATTCAGGAAGACCTCCCCACCCCCTTTGATTTTTAAGACATTACTGGAATTTCACCTGTAAACTTTAAACCTGGAGTAAGTCAATCCTCCTGAGATTTTTCCTTCAGATTTTAATCTTTTTCCTATTTCTGTTTGCCTGCCATTACTCTTTATTCTATTTAATTCATTTAAACTACAGTGGATTTTCCCCCTTTTTTCTTTTTGAGAGGTTGGTGGTGATTTGGGGAGGGAGAAATGAAAAGCAATAGAAAAATAAAAATTTGCCTAAAATTTATAAAATTGATACAGCTATGTATAAAATGCTTAGAATATGCTTGTGATGCTTGCTGGGTTTTTTTAAATATATTTGAAATTCAGTCTAGATTCAGCATTGTACAGCCAAAGGCAATTTATTTCATTTTATATTGTCTGTGTTGCAGATGCTCATCATTACATGATTAGTTTGTGTGTGTGTGTGTGTGTGTGTGTGTGGTCCACGCAGTGCCTGTTTTCCCCCAGATTCTCAAGAATTCTCAAGTTCCATGTATCCATTACTCTGCAAAGCAACTGCATTAACAGTTGAAACTTCACCTAGTACCACTGGTGCTTTGACATTTCTGTGATATTAGAGAGAAAATGACCAAGCACTTGGTAGCTGTGTTTCCCAAATACTTTAAAGGTGGTTGGTTGGTCTGGGGTAATAGGAGATGATGTAAATAGTGCTTGCTTATTTGTCTTCTGTCAGGATGTGGTAATAGCAGTAAGGGCCTGGAGTTCCTGAGCTGTTTACAACTGTCACAGAGCCTGTGAGGCTAGGAAACCTTCGAGAATATCCTGGCCCAGATTTCTTCAGCATTCCTTCTCTGTTGCTTCTGCCTTCTGCCTTACGTGCCAGAGAAAGAGCTCATGACTTCTGTCCAGAGTCACAAAATCTTGGCTGATCTTGATGGAGTCTTGCAGCATATTCTCATGGCATGAATCTTTTGAAGAGAGGTGCCAGTATAACATAGCTTCACTAGGAAAACTCTTCCTAGAATAGAATTGGATTTCTTTTTTTAATGGTTTGATGTAAGTCAATGAAGAAACTTGAGTCTATTTTAGTGTAGAATGACTTCAACCCCCATCAAGTTTGGAAGTCTTCTCTATGTGAGATTTAGAAAGGCTGTACACAATACAATTAGGTCTTGCTTGTGAAGAAATTAGTATAAAAAATGACAATTTAGAAGTGATCATTTTAAAGCATGTTCTGTATGAAAATATACTCCAGTATTTGTAGAAAAAAGCCCTAAACTGAGTCTTGACTTTATTTTTAAAAAATCTGTAAGTGGTAAGGATTTTTGTTTTCCTAAGCACCATATACTTAAGTACCATTATCACACTTAAAAGATTATTAGCAATTCCAGTAATGTAATTTTGAAATTTCCTGATTGTCTCAAAAATCTTTGCTTTTGTCTCTTTTATAACAGTTTTAACTCCTCGGATTCCCTTCCCTTGCTTTTTTATGCCACTAATTTATTGGAGAAACCAGGTCATTTGTCCTGTATAATGTCCCACACTCTGGATTTGACTGATTGCTTCCTTGTGCTGGTGTTTAACTTGATCCTATATCCCCACTATTCCCTGCAAACTGGTAGAACTGAAGGCTTGATTCAATTCAGGTTGAATCTTTTCTTTCTTCCTCTTTTTGAGTAAGAATCCTTTATAGTTGATGTTGTGGTACTGCATCATGTCATGAGAAACATAGTGTCTGGTCATCCTCATTGAGTGATACTGAGATGAATATGTGGATTCTGTTTGTACACTGTTACTCTGTTGGTATAGAAGGGCCCATTATAGTCATTTAAAGCTTTGTAAGATGCTTAAGAATCTCAGAAAAGATTCTAACTTAGCAGGTCTAAGGGAAGAAACATCTATTATTAATAAAACATGCAACACATACAAAACCTCCCAAACCTCTCTACATTTACTCAGATATGGTAAGAATCACTACATTTAAAATGTAATTAGAGTGACAAAATTTACTCTTCTACAAATGCTTTAAGATTGTTTATCTTGTATAAAATGAAGCATATTTAAAAATGTTAAGAGCTGTGAAGATGTTTCAGATTGCTGTGGTGTAATAAAAAAGAACTAACTCTGGACACAGGAGGCCAAATCATGTTTTTGAGGTATATATATTTTTTTTTACATTTAGAAAATAATAAGACTGGACACAGTGGCTCACGCCTGTAATCCCAGCACTTTGAGAGGCCGAGGTGAGGGTCACCTGAGATCAGGAGTTTGAGACCAGCCTGGCCAACATGGCAAAACCCTGTCTCTACTAAAAATACAAAAACTAGCTGGGCGAGGTGGTGCATACCTGTAATCCCAGCTACTCGGGAGGCTGAGGCAGGAGAATCGCTTGAACCCGGGAGGCAGAGGTTGCAGTGAGCCAAGATCGTGCCTCTGCACTCCAGCCTGGGAAATAGAGTGAGACTCCACCTAATAAAAAAAAGAAAGAAAGAAAAAAAAAAGAAAAAGAAAAGAATAATAACATATCTATCACAGGGTTGTTTTAATGAATAATTGAAATGATTTATTGGGAAGCAATTCAGCACCCAGTAATTAACTGAGTCTAAATCTGAAATTCATTCCAACAATACAGATATTTTTCAGTCTATAGAAAATTAACAGTATCATGTGCTGTTTTAGCTATGTCTGAATAAGCTTTTATATTTGAGCTTGTTTTTCAAGTGATAGGAGAGTTGATGGAGTTTTAACATAAGTGTAGTTAAAGTAGGCTTTTTGAAAAAATAGCCTGTGGAATTCTTATTACTGTTTTTTTCCCCCCTACTTTCAGCTTCATTTACCTCTTAATTCTCCTTTGCCTGGAAGTGAATTGACCAAGGAACCTTTTCGTTGGGATCAGAGACTCTTTGCATTAGTGCTGCGGTTGCCTGGCACCATGTCAGTAGAATCAGAACAGTTGACAGGTGTGCCTTTAGATGACTCTGCAATCACACCAATGTGTGAAGTGACAGGTGGTAAGTTTTTTTGCTGGCAGTAATTCGGTAACTTAAAGCAGATTTTATCTGACTGTTTTAAAAGTGTACAAAAACAAACATCCATGTTTGTTTTTATTTAACAAGTTAATATTAGGAATTAATAGGCATATATGGTTTTAACAGTACATTTATTGATAATGGTCTATGATCTTCATTTTAATAGAATGTGGTTACTATTGGATATGACAAGGAATGGTAATATTTTTTCTACTTGTATAGAAAATGCTAGTATTTGAAGTTGTTAAAGTAATTTTCTTATCTAGAAAGATTGCCAATGATTTAGAAGTACCATAGCATTATTTTTTGCAAAAAATGTTTTGAGAATCATCTCTATATTTGATGGGATATGCTTGGTTAAGTGCAATTTTTCCCAGAGGCAAAGAGATTGATAGATTAAAGGAAACAGATAGTGAGGTCTTATCCAGCTTCTGTTTCACTTATCCATCAGATTAGATAGGTACTATGCTAAGTGAACAGCAAGGGAAATTGTGAAATACATATGTAATCAACTCAGAACTCATTTAATGTAGAATTAGCTAACAGGTGGATTAATTTCATATAGGTATGTATTGCGTGCCTACTGTGTACCAAGTATTGTTCCATGCTTTTGGCTTTCAGTAGTCAGTAAGACAGACATGGCATTTTTGCTTTCATGGAGCATTTCAGTTCTCACCTAAAAATTTTATTAAAGTAATTTTAATATCAAATTCTGTATTTGATATTAAAACGTGCAAGTCTAGCATTCCACTGTTTTACTTACGATTAGGGCCTGTGACATAGTCTGCAGACACAGTTGGTGCTCTAATGAGATTCATCATAGCCAGCTACATAAGAGAAAATATAAGTTCTAATTAATATTTTAGGTGCATTTTTTCTAAAATTCTATGGGTTTTGGAAATCTGCAAAATTCACAGACAAAAAGGGATTAACCTTACACAGGTGTGTGAAATAGATAAGTTAGAAAACTGTTATTCATGTCATTAAATGCTTTCATTTTATAGAAATGCTTTTTGTGAACTTTTGTAATGCCTTCACAATTTAATTAACAAAGGGCAAAAAAGGCATATATGTAATTTTTTTTAAGGGACAACCTGTCATCTAAATTTGAAAATTACTAACAGTTCTCTTTACATAGATAATATTTTTCGGTGACAGTTGTATTTTTTTCTGTGGCAGGGTGCACATTTATATTCATGAAATTTCAGTTTCCAGCTTTGAACTGGCACCCTTGTTAAAAATTCTGATTTAAAAAAATTTTTTTTTTAACTGGGGATTTTACTTAACAGATTCTGGAAGGCTTGGAGGCTATAACATTCTCACATTGGAAATTCCTTACTGTGAATTACTTAATTTGAACTTAGAATTACGATGAACTTTTGGGACTTAAATATACTATAACTTTGTCACTAGGATCAGGAATATTCACAGTGTGAAGTGAAGTGAGTGGTATAATCAAAGAGTCTGAAAAGAACCATGAGATATCATGTAGCAGTTATATCCTTGCCTTTAGGCAGTAATATATTAAAGCTACTTTGCTTATTCTTTCAAAGGAACATCTCTAGAGGAGAAGTTCCAAAGTCATCCTTGGTGATATCTTTCAATGATGCAGAAATCTTAGACAAGAAATTAGGAAGTCTTCTCTAAATATACATTCTAAATCCTTCCTGATGTGATAGTTTATTTGCCCCTTTTCATGCTCTTACTAGCAATAAGGTAAGCCGCTCAAATGTCACTCACCTTTTCATATCTCTGAATAATGTGTTTTCTTTCTTTTTTAAAGGATGTTCACTAAAGAAAGTTTTGGGGAACACCAGAAAAGTAGAAAGAACAAAAAAGATAATACCCAGTGGTATTGCACTATCCAAATATGTAATCACTGCTAACAATTCCTGTGCATTTTTAAAACTTGAGGTTGGCTGGGCGCGGTGGCTCACGCCTGTAACCCCAACACTTTGGGAGGCCAAGGCAGGCGGATTACCTGAGGTCAGGAGTTTGAGACCAGCCTGGCCAACATGGTGAAACCCCATCTCTAATAAAATACAAAAATTAGCTGGGCATGGTGGCACATGCCTGTAATCCCAGCTTTTTGGGCGGCTGAGGCAGGAGAATTGCTTGAGCCCGGGAGGTGGAAGTTGCAGTGAGTCGAGATCGTACCACTGCGCTCCAGCCTGGCTGATAGAGCCAGACTCTGTCTCAAAAAAAAAAAAATTTTTTTTAAGTAATTGTTCATGTGTGTATTTGTGTACTTTATTTTTCCCATTATAGAGTAATTCATGTTCACTAAGGAAATATTGGAAAAAATTCACCTGTATTGCCAAAATAATAATATATTTCTTTCTATGTATTTTTTTAATTACATAATTATAGTCATTGTAAGCATTTTTATTTTGATACCAGGTAAAGGTAACTCTATACCAAATAACTGTTACTAGGTGTTCGGAGTACAGCAGGAACAATAGAAAGCTTACATCTTTGTACTGAGTGACAGATAATAATCATGTAAAATAAATAAATGATATTTTGTACTAGTACTACCTACTAGTATTGTAGTACATAGTAGGGTGCTACCTACTTTGAAGACAAAACAGAGTAAGGGAATAGAGTCTAACTTGAGGCAGAGAAGGAATATTCTAAGTTTTCTTCTGAGGAGGTAACATTTGAGCAGAGACCTGAATAATGGAGTTAATTACACATATATCTAGGCGAGGGAAATGGCAAGGAAAGGGACATGCTCTCTGTATATTTGGAAGCGACAGGAAGGCTGGCATGGCTGGAGCTTACATAGGGAGGAATAGAATAGTAGCTCGGTTTAGAGAGGTAGGCAGGGGCCAAATATTGAATGGCTCTTTAGGCTACAATAAATGTTTTTTTTATTTTCCAAGTATGATGGGAAGCCTTTTGAAGGCTTTTTATAGGCGGTGACATCTGATTTCTATTTCTGAAATACCACTTCACCTGTTAGATGAGAATACAGAGTGGCAAGAATGAGAGCAGGAAGACTAGTAGTAGTACTTTGTTCTAGCTTTGGAGGTGGTGAGAGGTGGCTTAATGTAAAAGAGAACCAAAGATGAGGACAATAAGGGAAGAAGCAATCAAGGATGGTTCCCAGATGATTCAGTTGTTCTGAACCACTAGAGATGGATGGCTGTGCCAAGGACTGAGATGGTAGACTAGGGAGAAGCAGGTTTGGGGGAGGTGCAAGGACGATAATAAATTTTTAAATGTTTGATAGACATGTTGTTGAATATATCAGGAATTTTTAAAGTATTTTATAAAAATTATTTATAGATATTTCTAGATTAAATACATTTAACTTTCTTAGCCTCTGTAAGGACTATTGACCAACTTAGAAATATTCATTTGCTTCTTCTCTATTTGACAAAGATGCTAATACTACCTTTAGACTCACTATATTTAGTTTGGCTTTTTTGTGGACTCCACATAACCCAAAGTGAGACAGCTTCTTGACTTGAAGGTGTATGCTAATATAACTTTTTTCACAAATAGAAGTAGTGATCCTAGAAACTTTATGCATTAGCGCAAAGTGTTGTATATTCCAAAGAGTAAGTTTTGACATAGACAATAAGTTCGCTTGAGGAACATTACGTAGGATATAGGCTCACTTTGTAAAGAAAGCAAAATTTGCTATTTCTCTTTAACTTTTAAGATAATTGATTTTAATTTGCCAAATGACTCATTTTATTCTTTTTCTCCAATTTTTGTAAAATGTACTGATTAGTAATTTTATTTCATGTTAAGATTGATTTGCTTATGTTTTCTTAATAATTGATGACACAACTTAGGAGAGCAGAGATAATTGTCATAGTTTATATACTTTTGCTTTTTAATGACATCTTAGGAATATGCTTAAATTTCATGAAATAAGATACTCAGCTTTTATGTAAACTTCTAATATTTTGCATGTAAAGATGGTTAACCTTTTTATGGATTGCTTTTTGTATATACTTAAATTGACTTAGAAAAAAGATTTAAATTTACCAATTCTTTCAGATAAGTATGACTTCATATAAATGCTCTATTTTAAGTATGATTTCAAATTAACAGAGGATTTCCAAGGGACAAAGGATATCCAGAATAGTTTCTGATACCCTGTAAGGATTTGAATTGTAGCTGTATCACTATGCTAACTTGGAAAAGTTAGTTAACCTCTCTGTGCTTTAGTTTTCTCATTTGTAAAATGGGGAAAATAACCCATACAATTGTTGCTAGGATTAAAGAAATTAATATCATAAAATGATTGGAACAGTGCCAGGCAAATAGATACTCAGTAATTGGTAGATATTTGTTAAGGTTACAGTCATCATTATTTTATACAGTTGTTATATGATACTTATTTTTTCTAAGTAAAGCTGACTTTGAGGATTTGAATCACCATTGTCTATAATGTTCTCTTTTCTGAGTAGCCTTTAACAAATCACCTTAAATATAAGTTGATATGAGTAATTTGATGTGTCAAATGTAATGATGTAGCTTGTGTTCTGAAATAATTGGTTGAATGTGTAAAAGAGTAGGGCTTCATATTGAGCTTATTATAAATAATACTGCAAAATATTTGGCCAAAGATTGAGTTTTAGCTGTCAAGGTTTTTAGGTTTTTAGTGTTGGTCTGAATCAGAACTGTATAATAGAAATCTGATTCAAGTTTCATATGTAATTAAAAATTTCATAGTAGCCACTTTAAAAATTAAAAATAGATGAAATTAATTGTAATAATATATTTTACTTAAATCAATATATCCATAATATTACTTCAGTATGAGATTGATATTTTAAAATTACTGAGATTTTTTTAATACTAAGTCAACAAAATCAGGTGTATATTTTATACTTACTATACATTTCAATTCAGACTAGCTATATTTCAAGTTCTCAATAGCTACATGTGTCTAGTATATAAAGTATTATATAGCTAAGGTCTAGATATTTTTGTTGAAAATTCCTCTTTAAAAAATCTTTTCACTCATATCTTTTAAAAAAATCACTAGTATTTAATGCTTCTGAACCAAAAGTAGTATAGGTTAAAATGTGCAAAAAGGGAATTCACGTAAGATAGGTAATTCCCAAGTATGTAAGCTAAGTGAAATTCAGAAAAGCACACGCTACCATCTGTATATTAAAACGCAAATATTTAAAATACTTAAAAACTGCCAATGAACTAGTTAAGTAGTTATTACATATCTACTATGTGCACAGTAAATCTTAGTGATAATACTTTTGTTAAGCAGGAATAAGATTTTGGGGAGACAGTTACTAGATGTGTGTGTGTATATGTGTTAAAGATAAATTATATTGCATAATAATTGGAGATAGTGTGTTTTTTGTATATGTTTTTAAAAACATAAAATATGTGACTTGTTTTCATTGTGTGTTGTTCAGACCAAGAATTAATTCTATGTTCCAAATACCTATAATTAGAAGAAAATACATACTCTCACAAAATGGGATTGTTGGTTGGTTGGAAATAAGGATTTTTTGTGCACTTTCATAAGATAATGAAATTAGTCAACTTCTACCATTGAACTTTTGTTAATTAGTACTGTCAGAAACCCCACAGTTGTTTTTTTCTTGCTAAAGATAGGAATTCTTGCAACTAACTAGTTTACTATATTCTTCTTCTTTTTTTTTTTTTTCTTTTAAATCTCAGGCCGTTCATATTCTGTGTGTTCTCCAAGAATGCTTAATCAGTGTCTGGAGTCCTTGGTGCAGAAAGTACAAAGTGGGGTGGTAATAAACTTTGAAAAAGCAGGACCAGATCCTTCCCCCGTAGAAGGTATTATTGCACTTTTGTTTTAGACATTCAAAACTTGCTTTATTGTTTATTCAACTAGAACTGAAAACTTACTGTGATTTGGCCTTAAGATTGGCAAGACTAAATTATTAAGACAGGCTGTTGGTAAAGAGGGAAGATTAAATAGGAAAGTCAAGGTAAACTAACGGTGGTCTATTAGCATCACCTTTTTGTATTAATGATTGTTTATTGCCTGACATTTTGATGAGTCAAAAGCCTTTTAAAGTATTTATAGATAAGCAAATGTATAATTTCTTTGTAGTATTATACAATTGCCTGTCAACATATATATGCTTCTCCTATGCTGTTTAATTCCCAAAGTGTTCAATCCTAGATGTTTAACTCCTTAGCTACTTTTGGACCAAGGATCAAACTGATTGAAACTAAATGGTGTATGTGGGTCAAAAATGAGGAACCAGGCTTTATTAAGCTTGATTCTTCTAACTCTAGCTGAGTCCCACATGGCTTTTTCTTAGCTTCTGTATCATGAACTATTTCCAATAGCCAGTGGATATAAGGAGTTATAGTACAACCAATGGATGGTTTATAGCTGAGACCCTCTGCATTGTATGTTACCTATTTCAAGATTTAGAGAGTCATGGCTGGGCGTGGTGGCTCACACCTCTAATCCCAGCACTTTGGGAGGCCAAGGCGGGTGGATCACCTGAGGTTTGGAGTTTGAGACCAGCCTGACCAACATGGAGACACCCCGTGTCTACTAAAAATACAAAATTAGCCAGGCGAGGCGTGGTGGCGCATGCCTGTAATCCCAGCTATTTGGGAGGCTGAGGCAGGAGAATTGCTTGAACTTGGGAGCAGAGGCCGGGAGGCTGAGGTTGCAGTGAGCGAAGATGGCGCCATTGCACTCCAGCACGCGCACACACACACACACACACACAAAGATTTAGAGAGTCATTTAATGATAATTGGCAGAGGTGGTCCACTAAAGTAGGTACCTGGGAAAAGAGAAAGATCATAGAGATGAATGAAAGAATGGGGGCACTGAGAGAGTACTGTAGGGAAGGAAAGGGTGATAACAATAAGTTGTGTCATGTCTTCTTTAGCAAAACCAGACTTAAAAAAAAATTTAATTGAATTGTTACAATGTATTTATTTTTAAATTATTTTAATGCTTTGTTTAGAGTTTGGTACTAGTAAATGTTCACTAAATTGTTGAAGATAGTTGGTGTTTTGCTGAAGTTATTTTAGATTAAAGGTAGGTGCTTTCGTCTAGATTTGCTTATTAAGTTTTTTTTAGGCTTCAGTTAAAATGATTTCTAAAAAATAGTCAATTTGCAATACTTATTTATTCTAGTATTTATTGTGCGCCTGGCACTGTTTTTGTCATTTGGGATATGATGATAAAGGTGGCAAATTGGGTGCTTGCTCTTATCATCTGATGAAGAAAACATGTCATTCATCAAACAGATATTCACTGTAAAGCATGTTTTATGTGTTCCAGTTGGGAAAGCAAAGGATGCTGCGGACCTCCTTTGAACTGGCGAACTCATAGTTGGAATTTGTACTTATTGTCTAATGAATTACAATCTAGTCTAAATATTAAGCGGACATAGCGTTCTGCCATTTAAGAAAAATAGGAAAACCTAGAAAAGAACAAATATTAGGAATTTTTTATTAAGTAATAATGGATATAATTTAACTTTTTATGCTTATCCCCCACTTATGATACATGCTTTCTTTGTCTTAATTTCTTTGCTGTAGATGGGCAGCCAGATATATCAAGGCCTTTTGGATCTCAGCCTTGGCATAGCTGTCACAAACTCATATATGTCAGACCAAATCCTAAAACTGGGGTTCCTATAGGTCATTGGCCTGTTCCAGAGTCTTTTTGGCCAGATCAAAATTCGCCAACACTAGTAAGTACCAGAGAGACTGTAACTATGTAACAGTAACCATTCAGCTGCCTTTCCTATTAGTTTTAAATTCTGTTGTGAAAGCTGTGATTAATTTATGGGGATTAGACAGATGTTCAAAGTGCTATGATACCCTGTTACTTGCTTTAGTGTGCTGTATTGTTTATTATGAAGTAATAGAAAAAAGAAAGGCATCTCCTTCCTTTAGAATCTAATACTATGCTCACATTTTTTATTCTTGGCTTCTGGGTACAAAATTTCCTCTTTGAACTCTAAATGAGGATTTGTCTCTGGGACACAATTTAGGATTTAAATGAAAGTTTAGAAAATAATTTTAATAGTTTGCCTGCAATTTTTTAGGACTTAGTCTTAAATTCATATTGATGTGTATGGTTTTAGTTATATACAGTGTTGCAGATTGGAGGTTTAAGCTAGAACAGATTTTCTGATTTTGTTTACCTGAATTATTTTTAGGAACAATGAAGTTTGCTCAGTGATCATGGTGAATTATCAGTATTCATTATATAATTCTTAAAATAACAGGGTACATTTATACAGATTAATATCCATTTAGTTGTGTTAGTGTACTCTTTTCTTTCCATATTTTTTTTCCCAAGTATCTGAGGGCATTAAGGGATATTTTATGGGAGAGCATGGCAGTGGTTCTCCTTGATTTTACCCTTAGAAAATAAGAATTGTATTTCAGAGATCATTAAGCAGTCTTTAGTAATGTTTCATACAACAAAACCTTTTTGAAACCTTTTGCACTTCAAACCTGTATCAGCTCTTCAGGATAATTTTTATTTTGAATTTATAAAGTGATATTTCCTTTATTCATTAGGGATTTAATAAAGTAGTGCATGAAGTTAAGGTTTTCTAAATTTCATTGAAGTATCTTCTTCATACCTTTTTTCTGATAGAACCATCATAGTTTTTTAGTCTGGCTTTATGGAGAAACTTTCAATTTCTTTGGTCATTTTACTTTCTCTTCTGGAGGTCTTTCAACTCTTACAGAACAGATACCTTATTTGTATGAAATACTGTCATGTTGGTTATTTATTCTATTGTATTTATTTAACACGTACAGGAGAACATACAGTACCTGAGTCGTAATGGAAAGAAATCCAAAACCAGTATCACAACCTTTATCTATTAATGCTGCTCTAGCAGTCTATCACAAATTCTTACAAGCCATAGAGGGTGGGTAGGACTTCAATTGGAGAAGGAAGTAGTATGAGAAAAAAATATGGAAGTGAAAAAGAACAAGGTATGTTTAGAGGAGTAACAAGTAGCTGAGTATGGGTGGATCATAACATGTATATAGGACATTGAGAGTACTATTAAACTAACCAAATTTTTTATGACTTTAAATGCAGGGTTAAGGAATATTAGCTTTTTAACAGTGGAATTCAAAGAACAGTTGAAGATGTTTTTAACAGACATCTTTAGAAAAATTGATTTGGTAGTGGTTATATGCAGAAAAATTAGAAGGGGGAGATGAGCTGAAAGGCAGGTAGGTTACCTAGAGGGCTATTGATATGGTTCATGTAAGAGATTTTAAGTGGTTGAATTATGATGATGGAAGACAGAATAATAAATAATATTGGAAAGAACTGGCAAACTTTAGTAACTGAAGGATATTAGGGGAAGTGAAATTTTCATAAATTGTAATATTGAAGAAATATTGCTAATGAAGTTAAATGTAAGTTACAAGATGTGAATTTGAATCACAGCACTACTAGTTACTAACTAGTGCCTTTGGTTATCTTTTGTAAGCTTCAATTTCCCATCTGTTAAGTGGCTTATAGCTCCATCTTACTGGGTTGTTTTGGGGATTAAACAAAATCATATATGCAAAATTTTATTTGCCAAGTTCTAGAGGATCTTTCCCTCCACTTTCCATCTTGGATCTCAGTACTTTTATTCACAGAATAAGTGTGTTTCGTGGACTGATTGAATAAACTGTGTATCAGGTGCATGCTAGGCACAGGAGCACAAGATGAGTAAAACATAGTGCTTCCCCTCTTGAACATTATGCGTCTATGGGCAGGTCAGACATGTACACATCATAGAATACAGTGTGCCAACTGTCATAGAGGGGTGGGGCAGAGCCAGAGGAGGTGGGCCTGACAGCCTGGTGTGTTTTTGGAGTACAGAGTGGGAAGGGGTATGAGGGAAGAAGTCTTTTAGAGGTTGTTACATGCCAACTCATTCTTCTAAACTTTGTTTGCAATACACAAAGGAGAAAATAAGTACTTGGCATGGCAGAAGCGTGGAGTCTGTATGGCGTGGTGTGGGAAGGCAGGGACCAGATCATTGAAGATCTTTGTATGTGATATTGAGAGTCTAGACACTATTTTTAGGTGTTTGGCTGTTACTTTTACTGAATAATTTTAGATAGGGAAGTTATATGATCCTATTTATATTTCACTGCCATAGGATTGATCAGAGGGGGGCTGATTAGAGACTAAACAAAGCAAAAGGCAGTTGTACTAGTCTAATCTGAGAAATGATGAAGGCCCAAATTAAAGTGGTAAGAAATAGAAGATACATTTCTCGAGAGATGAGAGTTTAGTATTAACAGAAGGCAGCAACTAGGACTAACTACCTACCATGTTTATGTGTTCTGGTAAGTGCCTTAGAATTTGTGTTATCGGTTTATCCAGGTCTTTGTGACAGTTAAATATGGAGGATGATGGGAAGATATCAAGAATAATGACTAGGTTTTTAGAACAGGTTTTGTAGCTTGGGGGAGAAATAACAAATTGTACATATTGTGTCTGAGGGACCTGTGGAAGATTCAGGTTATGTCCAGTAGATAGTTAGATACAGCAGAGAAATGAGAGCCATCTGACCCCAACACAGTAGATTTGTGAACCACCAGGGTATAAGCAGTAACTGAGCCAGTAGCTATGAAATTTGAAATTACTTCCTCATAGCTCATTTTGTTCACAAAATCTCACAATTGGTGAGATTTTTAGAAAGAGGACTATTAAGAGGTAGATGGGAGGTAACGTGCCTTTTTTAAAAAAGTATTTCTTTTTTATACCTCTAGAACAGGGTGTATATCCTATAGAGTTTACCAAAATAATTGCTGGAATAGGGAAGGAAGCATTAGAAGTTCTATTTATGGTTGTTTTTCTCCTATTTTAATACCATTTTGGCATATATTTTTTTATGCACATCTACATTTATAATTTATATAATTAGAAATATATAATGTATATTCAAAAACCGATCAATATCTATGATTACGTTGGAAGTCACTACTCTCTATAAGTAAATTGCTACAAATGAAGACTTGTGACAGTTTCCATATACATTTCTCATTTTTTGGATGTAAAAATTAATGAATACTCAATTACTAAATTTTGCATAAGACCTAAAACTATTTTCATTTCTACAGATTTTCAAGTGTTTGTCTTTTTCTTTTGAATATTAGCAATAACTTTAGCATTACATTTTCAAGTGTTTTCTTTCAGCTTAATGTTGCTTTTAACAGTAAATCAAACTCTTATTAGCAAGATGGAGGAACTGAGTAAATTTTGATAATGAGGGATACTTAGTTTTGTTTCTGGAATTTCATGTAAATAGTAATTACAAGACTTTCCCCTTTAGCCACCTCGTACATCTCATCCTGTAGTGAAGTTTTCCTGTACAGACTGTGAACCAATGGTTATTGATAAACTTCCTTTTGACAAATATGAGTTGGAACCTTCACCACTGACTCAATTTATCCTGGAAAGGAAATCTCCTCAAACTTGTTGGCAGGTGAGCTGAACAACTTACAGTGACCCCAAAATTTAAATGAGGTGTTTCTTAAAAAGCTGAATTGAATCAGTAGTTTATATAACATTCTTTAAAGGTTATTAAAGTTTTAATTGCTCCTTTCTAACAGGTGTACGTGAGCAATAGTGCAAAATATAGTGAACTTGGTCATCCTTTTGGTTACTTGAAAGCCAGTACAGCACTGAACTGTGTCAACTTATTTGTGATGCCTTACAATTATCCAGTCCTTCTTCCCCTCTTAGGTAAGTCATTCTTGTCACATTCTCCTTGGCTTAGCATGTAAAGGTTCTCCTAAAGAGCATTTCCTTATAGATTTTCTTGTCTTTTGGAAATCAATGAAAATATTTCGAATATTCTAAAATATTGAACATCTTGAAGAAAAGATAACAACCTGTTTGTGTTTATAGTAAATTAAAAGATGATACTGTAACACTTTTTAGTCTGCAATTTAATGAAGGTTTTTTTTTGTTTTTTTTTTTTGTTTGTTTTTTTTTTTAGCTTTTTGGGGATAGAGTCTTGCTCTGTCGCCCAGGCTGGAGTGCAGTGGCGTATTCTTGGCTCGCTGCAACCTCCGTCTCCCAGGTTCAAGCGATTCTCCTGCCTCTGCCTCCCTCCCAAGTAGCTGGGACTATAGGCATATACCACCATGCCCAGCTAAGTTTTTTATTTTTAGTAGAGGCAGGGTTTCACCATGTTGACCAGGCTGGTCTTGAACTCCTGACCTCAGGTGATCTGCCCGCCTTGGCCTCCCAAAGTTCTGGGATTACAGGCATGGGCCACTGTGCCCAGCCAAAGGTATTACATTTTAAATTTTTTAATTAAATATTCTAACTTTTCTGCAGGTTAGATTTCTAACAGAATTGGTAATGTAGGCTTTCCGTTTGAAATGAGACATTTTGTAGAAGCATAGTATAGTTAACAAGATCTGAGTGCATTTTCTAAGAATTTATCTATACTTTAATTTTCATTTGGCAAATATTTTTTAAATAAAGGAGTTTGTTCCAAAATAATATGATAAAAGCCTAAAGTTAGTTTCTAGGTACCATCTAGCTATCACTTTTGAGAAATGCTGTTGGAGAAAACTTACGCTCCATGAAATCACTTTAAATTTAAAAGTTATAGCCAAAATATTAGTAGATATATTTTATAGAAAACATTATGCATGCTTTGTTTCTGTCTTCAAATCTGCTTTGTGTCTAGGTCTAGGGAGAGCATAGATTTTCCTTGTGTATTTTCTGTTTCTAACTTAATTCCTACATGTACTTTTAGACCATAATTGACATCTTTTCATTTTATAGAAAATGACAAAACCATAAATCTTACTGCCTTTCATGTTAAAAAAAAGTCTGATGTTACTCTCTCAAAAATAACAAGGCAGACTTTAAAAAGGAAGCGTCTTTGACTTGACTTCTATGTGTGAAAATAATGAGTAGTGATAGTTTGTTCACATTATACATTTCTAGATGACTTGTTTAAAGTGCATAAAGCAAAACCAACATTGAAGTGGAGACAGTCATTTGAAAGTTATTTGAAGACAATGCCTCCCTACTATCTCGGGGTAAGAATATTATTTAAAAGAACTTGTTGGCCAGGCGCAGTGGCTCACGCCTGTAATCCCAGCACTTTGGGAGGCCGAGGCGGGCGGATCTTGAGGTCAGGAGATCAAGACCAGCCTGGCTGACATGGTGAAACCCGTCTCTACTAAAAATACAAAAATTAGCTGGGCGTGGTGGCGGGCGCCTGTAATCCCAGCTACTTGGGAGGCTGAGGCAGGAGAATCGCTCGAAACCGGAAGGCAGAGGTTGCAATGAGCCAAGATTGTGCCACTGCACTCCAGCCTGGGCAACAAGAGCGAAACTCCATCTCCAAAAAAAAAAAAAAAAAGAAGAACTTGTTAATTATATTATGCTTATGGTTTATTGTGGGTATTGTAAACTTTTATTTATTGCTTTTGTAGATTAAATGACATGAAAATTGAGTATACAAATGACCACTATAGATGTAAAGGTAAAGAGAGGTTTCAGTGATTTGCAGAGTAGTGATGATGATCATGATCACGAGAACATTTATGTACTGCTTACTCAGACCAGGTACTGTCCTAAGCAACATCAGTAATTTATACAGTTACCCTATGAGGTAGAAATGATTATTGGTTCTGTTACACAGATGAGGAAACTAAAGCATTAAAAATTAAATAATTTGCACAAGGCTACATAGCTAACATGTGAGGGGATGAGGGGCCTGAAATTCAGTCTGGCTTAGATTTAGGCTTTTAACCTCGAGTGTTGTACTACCTTTTTAAATTATAGTTTTATGATTATAGTTGTCTCTCAGTATCTGTGAAGGATTGGCTCCAGGATCACCTATGGACACCAAAAGTCACAGATGCTCAAGTCCCTCATATAAAATGGCGTAGTATTTGCATATAACCTACACACATTCTTTTGTATACTTTAAACCATTTCTAGGTTACTTAATATGTATGTACTTATTATACTATATTGATTAAGGAATAATGTCAAGGAAAAAAGAGTCTGTATATGTTCAGTACAGATGCAACGTTCCATTTTTTTTTTTCCTAACGTTTTCAGTCTGTGGTTGGTTGAATTCACAGAATACGGAATCCACAGATATGTAGGGCCTACTATATTTCTTTTTAAGGGTGCACAATAGTTTTTGTTGTATTATTTCCCAAATCTCTAGAAACACCTTGTAAGGTGGATAAGTGTATATTCTCATAGAACCATATGCTTTAGAGGAGTTCATTACTTCAAAACTAGTGTATCATAGTAGGTAAAACCAATAACATGCATTTTATTAAATACATGATTTAGTTTGTGAAAGGTAACCTTTTAACAAAAGTACTTAAAATCACTTATGTATTACTTCTGTTTTTGATGCAGGAATATTATAGCATTTGGCTATAAATAATCTTTCTAAATCATCCCTAATATAATTAGGAGATTAATTTCTTGAGCTTTGAAAATCATGACATTTTATAGTTCTAAGAGATAAGTTGTATTGAATGTGTCTAGCACACAGTGCCTGGCAAGTAGAAGGGCAAAAAAGAACAAACACTTTGAATAGGAACTGTTACATATGTTGACTCATTTATGTTTCGTAGCAACCCTGAGGATTTAGCCATGCCAGATAGGTGTTAAATATCAGGGCTGGGATTTGATTTCAGTTTGACACCAGTGCTTATACACTCTAATGTGTCAATGGTTATCATCCTTTTTCTGGCTCTATCCCATTCACATATGCTAGACACTCTTGGTAGTGATATTTTTTGTCATACAGAGTAGTTCTCAGTCTCTCCTTAAAATTGAAAGGTAACTTTCAGTTACCACATCCATAATAAATATTAGATTGTTTTTTCCTCCTGCTTATGTTTCCTTCAGAGCTTGTTTTTTTCAGCTCAGCATATTATAATAATAGTAATGATTAATACTTTGTACCCAATGGTTTTATAAAATGCTTTATGTGTATTAACTCATTTAATCCCATGACAACCCTGTAAGGGGTAGGTATTGTTATTATCCTCATTTTACAAATGAGAAACTAAGCCACAGAGAGCTTATTTATAATCTGATCTAGAATCATGTAACTAGTGAGTGGTTGAGCAGCTAATTACTCAAAGTGGAAATCTTGCATTTTCCTTGAGTGTTTTTCACTTACTACCCAGAGCTACCTCTATAATGTGTCTTCTGTCCATTTCTTCCAGTATCTCCTAGTATCTCCCAGTGGTACCAAGGAAGTCCAGTATTTTATCCTTCTTGTCTTGGGGAGTTGTTATGGCCTCTAAATCCTTTTTAACTACTTCAGATGGCCTTTCATCCCACTGACAAACATTTTACTGAAACATAAATATGATTGTGTTACTTCCTTATTGAGGAGAAGAAGGGGAAATAATTTTTTGGAGAAAATTTTAAGACAGACTATACATGGAACCATAAGTTTTTAATAAGCTTAATATTGAATGATGTTTTCTTTTTTCCTATAGCCCTTGAAGAAAGCTGTTAGGATGATGGGAGCACCTAACCTAATAGCAGACAGTATGGAATATGGACTTAGTTACAGTGTCATTTCATACCTCAAAAAACTGAGTCAACAGGTAATATCAAGAAATAGAGTGAGCCGTTAAGTATTTTGAATGGTTTGGGCTAAGATAGTTAAACAGGTTAAAGCTGGTTCTTGATGGTTCTAATGGAATTCCATTATATTAATATATTACATTTTAGAGCCATATATTACATAATTCTGTCTCACGCCCATGGTGTGCTATGGTTTGAAATGTTAATTTGAAAATTGTATAATAGGCTGGGCACGGTGACTCGCGCCTGTAATCCCAGCACTTTGGGAGGCCAGGGCAGGCGGATCATGAGGTCAGAAGATCGAGACCATCCTGGCTAACACGGTGAAACCTCCGTCTCTACTAAAAATCCAAAAAATTAGCCGGACGTGGTGACGGGCGCCTATAGTCCCAGCTACTCAGGAGGCTGAGGCAGGAGAATGGCGTGAACCCAGGAGGTGGAGCTTGCAGTGAGCCAAGATTGTGCCACTGCACTCCAGCCTGGGCGACAGAGCGAGACTCTATCTCAAAAAAAAAAAAAGAAAAAAGAAAATTGTATAATAATTCCTAATTTATGAAAATGGCTTCGTGAGTATGGTCCTAGACTTCCTATATGTGAACATTATTTATCTTTTGAGAAATTTAGATTAGAAAGTCATTTTTCCTTAAAAAAGAAAAAAAAAACTTCTTTATGTTTTGAAACCTGTAGATTTTTCTTTCAGAATGGGAGTTTCTTTGAAATGTTTGTAGAAAACACTGAAGTTTGTCATTCTGGCCAAAAATCACATTAATAAATACTATAGTAGTCAAGCAGTATATAGTTTAACTGACTGAAATTGTTAATGTCCTATGAAATACTTTATTTTTCCAGTACTTCTGACTCACTACCTTAACTACAAATCAAAAAGCAGTTTGGGAGGAGTCAAAACATTGCTTCTTGCTTTCCAGGGAAGAACTGCATAATTATTTGCCATATTGATGTGCTAATAAAAATGTCTTATGTAACGATGATTTTTAAAAAATAATTTTCTATCACTTCTGAATTGGAAATACACATTTCATTTAGTGTGCATTTACATTTCATGGTTTAAGTATAATGGGTATTAATAAATAAAACAATAAGTTGAAAGTGTGTTTGTCCTGTTCCAAAAGTTTAGAGTTGTAATGATTTAAAATCATAAGATGTTGTTGTTTACTATGTTTAATTTACCCAATACTTGACATAAACTATGCTACTTGAGTTTTTAACTTCTTATATACTTAAAAAATATATATTTAATTTATAGAAGATCATAACCATTAGTATCTGATTTATTAATTTAGATTTTATCAAGATAATTCTTATTTTTACTTTAGGCCAAAATAGAATCTGATCGAGTCATTGGATCTGTAGGCAAAAAAGTAGTACAGGAAACTGGAATAAAAGTCCGGAGCCGATCACATGGTTTATCAATGGCGTATAGGAAAGATTTTCAACAACTCCTCCAGGGAATTTCAGAGGATGTCCCTCACAGACTGCTAGACCTTAATATGAAGGAATACACTGGATTCCAAGTTGCTTTGCTGAATAAGGTAATAATCATATGAATTTAGTACTACTGTAGTTCTGTTCTGTTCTGTTACTGGATAAATCACATTTTCTGCTAATTCTGACATTCATTTTATCCAGACTTTAAAGAGTACTTCTGTACCCTTGCAGAATAATGATTATACTGTCACTGCTAGAATTAAAACAGTGTACATGGTGTGTGAATGAATGGATAGATTGATGAAGAGTAAACCAGCTTGTTTATTTTATAGATGAGAAAACAGAGATTTAGAAATTGCTTTAAGTTGCAATAGTGGATGGTAGAATTCACTATAGTTTTGTACTTAAACTGATGACCCTATTAGGCCCACAGCATGGTCCAAAAATGCTTTGTGAGTACTCATGGTTACAGATATCTTTATCCCAGCAGCCTTTTTGTAGAAATGGGCAAGCTGGTTCTAAAATTTATATGGAAATGTAAAGGTCCTAGAATAGCTAAAACAATTTTAGAAGAATAAAGTTGGAAGACTTATATCATCTGATTTTAAAACTTACTGTAAAACTTACTACAGTGATCCATGCAGTGTGGTGCTATCATAAGGATAAACATAGAAATTAGTGGAACAGAATTGAGTCTAGATGTAGGCCCTCACACACACAGTAAATTCTTAACAAAGATAGAAAAATAAGTTAGTGGATAAGAAGACAGTCTTTTAAACAAATGGAACAATTGGATATCCATATGCAAAATAATGAATTTGACCATTACCTCATATTATTTGAAGTGGTCATGATCTTAAATGTAAGAACTAAAACTATAAACTTATAGAACAAAACATAGGAAAAAATCTTCATGATGTTGACTTAGCAAAGATTTCTAAAAGCACATACCAAAAATGTTGATAAATTGAATTTCATTAAAATAAAAAAACTTTGCTCTTTAAAAGAAACATGAAAAATGAAGTGGCAAACTACAGCTTGGGAGAAAAGCACATATCAAATGAAGGACTTGTATCAAAATATATAAAGAACTCATAACTCAAAAAGACAAACATGGGCAAAATACTTGAACAGACATTTCACCAAAGAAAATATGCAAATACAAGTAAGAACATGAAGTAATGCTCAGGCCTTATCAGCCATTAGGGAAATGCAAATTAAAACCATAACGAGATACTACTTCGTAACTGCTAGAATGACAGATTTAAAAGACAAAAAATACAGGTATTGATGAGAATGTGGAGCAACCCTCCTAACATTACTGATACAAAATAGTTGGTATTTTCCTAAGAAGGTAAACATAAATTTGTTGTACAATCAGTCATCTACTTGTAGGCTTAGTATGCCAATTCATAGCAACATTTTTCATAATAACCAAAAACTTGAAACAGTCCAAGTGCCTATCAACTGGTGAATAGATAAAGAAGATGTGGTGTGTCCATATAATAGACTACTTGGAATAAAAAGGAACAAACTACTGATACACGAATAATGTCAATGAATCTCAAAAACATCACACTAATTGAAAGAAGCCAAGTAAAAAAGATTGGACACTGCAAAATTCCATTTATAAAATGGAGCATAGAAAGAAAGCAAATCATGTGGTTGCCTGGGGACAGGAATAGTGATTGACTGCAAGTGGGTACAAGGAACTTTTGGGGATGGTAGAAATGGATTATGATGATGGTTTCACAACTATGAATTTGCTAATACACATCAAACTATATACTTAAAATAGGTGATTTTATGGTACATAAATCACACATTAAAGCTGTTTTCTAAAAAAACTTTGGTTTTTAAAATTTGGAAATTGGTTTTTACTTAAATGAGTTTACTTCTTTTATCCAGAATATATAATAAAATCTTTAGAGTTAGATGGTGAATTGAGATTGTTTGGTTGATCTCACTACCAAATATTCATCTTTTGGCCCTGAACCAGTACATTAAGATTATGTCATATGTCTTTATTTTTTTTTTTTTAAGCTAACTAGTTTATATATCTTATTTCCAAACCTGTGCTGCAGGTTAGAGATTTTAGTCTCTTTTAATTCTATGTTTGACAATAAATTTGTCCTTGAATGTTGTTTAATAGGATTTGAAGCCACAGACATTTAGAAATGCTTATGACATACCAAGACGAAATCTTTTGGATCACTTAACAAGAATGAGATCTAATCTTTTGAAGAGCACTCGCAGATTTCTTAAAGGACAGGATGAAGGTTAGATCATAGTTTAATACTGGTATTTTTAATGTTTTTTTTCTTTATAGTCTGAAAAAGCATAGCATGGTGATGTAAATTTCAAAGAATTATTATAGTAGTATAACATTCTTATTGTAAGTTCAAATGAAGTAAAAGGTGAATCATCCCTGACTCTCTACCTTTCTTCCTACCATCACTGTTGCCCCAAATTCTCTTCCCTAGAGGTAACAACCTTTCTTAACAGTTTAGTTTCCTTTTATAGCTTTTCTCATGCATTCATGCGTGCATGCACACACACACGCGCGCACCAGTTGTCAAACTGTATACTTAAAATAAGTGATTTTTCTTATCTCAGTCATTTTCTTGAGATATACCAGTATCTGATGGTTTAACTCCGGATGGCCAGTTTCATGACATGTTCTGATAATTCCTTCACCTTTTTCCATGGCACCTACTATAAATCAAGTCAGATGAGACTTTAAAGCTTTGCCACCTCTGATTTAAGTGTTCTAACAATAATTTTATATAAAAAGGGTTAGCTATGTGGCTTCTCTTTTCCATACTGTACTTCCGTTTTCTACAAATTCTACTATAATTAAATTCTGTTTATTTGGAATAGCATAGAAGAGAAGAGATACACCTTTCACGGTAAGATCACACATACTTTTTTTTTTTTTTTTTTTTTGAGTCAGAGCCTTGCTCTGTCGCCCAGGCTGGAGTGCAGTGGTGTGATCTCGGCTCACTGCAACCTCCGCCTCCTGGGTGGGTTCAAGCGATTCTCCTCCTTAGCCTCCCTAATAACTGCGATTACAGGCACGTGCCACCATGCCCTGCTAATTTTTGTATTTTTAGTAGAGATGGGGTTTTGCCATATTGGCCAGGCTGGTCTCAAACTCCTGACCTCAAGTGATCCGCCTGCCTCAGCCTCCCGAAGTGCTTGGATTACAGGCATGAGCCACTGCGCCCAGCCACACATACTTTCTGTGTACTGAAATTAATGGCAATTTTTGTTTTGTTTAGATGATGAAATCAGTGTTTTAAGTTTTATTTTAAAATATTTTGTCGCAGTGGTTATAATTGCACCAAACGAATTTAGAATATGTTGGTAAAGAAGACTGTCTAGAATAACACTAGGTAGCATTCATATATAAGGAAACATTATTTGAGAAATAATTGGAGTATAGTCTTAGTGAGGTTAACTTTTGTTGCTGTTGTGTTCTTTTTGAAAGATCAAGTGCACAGTGTTCCTATAGCACAAATGGGGAACTACCAGGAATACCTCAAGCAAGTACCTTCTCCACTAAGAGAACTTGATCCTGATCAGCCGCGAAGGTTGCATACATTTGGCAACCCCTTTAAGCTGGATAAGAAGGTAATTTTGAAATGTTCTGTTATGTAATTTGTTTGTGGTAGGCATTGTCAGTTTTATTGTTCTTAATTTAACTAAAGTAAGCTGAAGCTATTTTCCTGGTAGAGTATCTAATAAATGTCAACATAATTAGAATATAGTTACTTTCATTGGAATTGACACTGGTTGTGCCATTTAAACATTGTTTGTAAATTCAAGAAAATTGTATTCTTTTTTGCTAAAGGGTATGATGATAGATGAAGCAGATGAATTTGTGGCTGGACCTCAAAATAAACATAAACGACCTGGAGAACCAAATATGCAAGGGATCCCTAAAAGACGTCGGTGTATGTCTCCACTACTAAGAGGCAGACAGCAGAATCCTGTTGTAAACAATCATATCGGGGGAAAAGGACCACCTGCACCTACAACTCAAGCACAGCCAGATCTTATTAAACCTCTTCCTCTTCATAAAAGTAAGAATTGTTTTTTTCTTAAACATTATTTGCTGCTTCCTTTTCAAGGAAGAGATTTTTGTTATAGATTATAGAAGGAAATTGATTAGTAGTACAATGAGTGAATGAATGTGTAGAGAAGATATTTGTTTAAATGAGCATATGATCATTTTTGTATGTCTTAATGAACATTTGAACATTTCTTATATTTATGATGCTTTATTAGCTATAATGTTCTAACATATCATTTGCAAATCTTTCAAAATAATACTTTTGAAAGGAGCATTATCACTATCCACAGAAAGATGGTTTTCAATTTCAGTTGAAGTCAACTAATTATTAAATATGTATGCTGTTTTGGATAATGCTGTGCTTTGAGGTATACCACTGAAGATAGGAGTGATCTCTGCCCTCATTTATAATCAGCAAGGAAGATCAGTCATTGAACAGATACTAGAAGTATGTTGAATATTACAGAAAAGATGTCAAGTATATTGTGGAAGCATTTGGCAAGAGGATTTAAGTCAATGAAGTCAAGGCACTTTACTGAGGAAGTTAATGCTGAAGCCAAAAGCTGTGCATTTGCTTATACTAGAGCAATAGTATGTGCAGTGGCATAAAGAGAAAGGCATTAAGGGAATTTAAAGAATTCCAGTATAGCAAGGGTGTTGGGCATGAGGTAAGGTGAGAACTGAAAGACAGAAGCCAGATGATGGAAGGCCTTGGAAGCTGTTTTCAACTTTATTCTAAAGAACAGTGAGAATCCACTGAAAGGTTTTAAAATGAAGGTGACCTAATCTGATTAGCATTTTATGAAGACCAGGTTGACTGTAATGTGTGTGGAATATTATCAGAGAGGAGCAAGAATGAATATAGGGAAACCCTAATGAATTAATGGACTTATCACTTATAGATAGTGGTCATACTTACAGCATATTAACTGAAGAGAAACAAAATATTTTATGACTGCTGATGGAAGTATCCAATACTGCCTTTGAAGTTGTCTTACCAAAAAACCCCAAAAACCAAAGTTGAACATCAATGTAATCAAACCAATTTATAGGAAATACAGGGGGCAGAGAAACATGTGGGATACAATTAGTAAAATCCAGATTGTAGAAAACTCTGTGGGACAAAGAATCTGTTGGTTTTTTCCCAGAAAAATACATAGTAAAAGAGGTACAGCAGGATTTTACAGATGCAAATGTAGTTTAAGAGATACATAAGCCAGTTGCAATGTATAGGCCTTAACTCTACTCAGAATCAAACAAAATCAAACTTTTCCACAAACAGAAAACATGTTGGAGAGTATGGACACAGACTGTATATTTGATGTTGTTAAATAATTGTGCATGCACAGGAATCAGTTAGGAAACCTGGGGAACAGATGCTGGTGACCTGACAGAGGGGTTTGAAGAAGAATATGTATTTGAGAAATACTTGGACACACCACTAAAGGATTTGGTTACTGGTTGGATGTTGGGACCAGAGCAGGGTGGGAGGAGTCAGGCGTCTGTCTTGAGAGACACTGGGTGGGTGGAAGAATAAATAATAAATGAGTTTAGTTTAGAAGTGCATATTAGGTCATCAAGTGGAGATCCTAAGTTAGAAGATGCATATTGAGTTTGGGACTCAGGAGAAGAGGATTGGGCTAGAGGGGTAGTATGAGAGGCAGATTACTGCCCATTGCACTGAATAAAATCTCACCGAGGCAAACACAAGAAAAAAAAAGCTCAGAACAGAACCTCGAAAGTGCCAAAGTTAAGATAAGAAAGCAGAAAAGGAGATTGAGAAGGAAGAATTTTAGAGATAGGAGAAAATAGGGAAGAATTTAATGTCATGGAAGCTAAAGGGCAAGATAATTGGGTGGGTAGTTGTCCCAAATACTTAAAAAACAAACAAAACAATAACAACAACAAAAACAGTTCAATCAAGAGAAATAGAAAAATTCTGTGGTCTTTGGTGATCTTAGCAAGAGCAATTTCTGTGGGGTAAAGGGGCAGAGCCTAATAAGGGGTTATGGGAGGAGTGAGAGGTGAGAAAATGGAAACAATGAGTATGAGTATAAACAGCTAGTTAAGTTTAGTTGTAAAAGGAAGATGGGAAAAGAGCATGGTACCTGGAAGAGTTCACGGGGTTTTGAAAATGGTGATTTTTCTTTGTTTTTAAGATCAGAGATGCTTGAGCATGTTTCAGTGCTGGTGATGGAACCAGTAAATAGGGAGAAGTTGAAAATGAAAATGAGAAAAGGCATACTCAGCACAAAATTACTGAGAACGCAAGAGGGAATGGTCTAGAGCACAGAAGAATGCTCCCTCAGTTGATGCAGAATGTGGGGGAAGCGTGGTGGCGAGGGTGTAATTTAGTTAAGAGGGAGGTAAAGGAAGTCTCTTAATCATGGCTTTGCTTTTCTTTTGAGCTCTGTGAGGTAGAAGGTGAAGTATACTGCTGAGACGGAAGGGGATATTGGGAAAGTCAGGGGTTTGAAGAGAGTGAGGGAGCTTAACAATCTCTGTGGGAGAGAGAAAAGGTTGTGATAAGATTGCTAGACAGTGCCTAGGACCCAAGTAGAGATGGTGATTGTGACCACTCTGTAGAGCTGGACCCTATTTCTTCAGCAGTGCTCATGATTCCAAATGCAAGTCTGGGGCAAGCAGATAGAGTGAGTCTGGGGCAAGCAGATAGAGTGAGTCAAGAGATGGGATTTTGCTTGGCAGATGTTATGGGAAGACAGTAGAACAAGAGAAATTAAGACATTAGTAAAAGTGATGTATCATTGGATATAAGCCTGATACAGAATTGGCTGCTTAGAAGGGATATGGTTAATAGGAGAAAGAAAGTAGAGGAATTGCTGGAGTCAAAGTCTGGCTGAGTTAAGGAGCAGTAGCAGGAGTACTTTGAAGACGAGGGTTATACTCCTCCATCTCTGAATTTGTCTGGATGTGAAAGGCGAAGGTGTAAATGTAAGTTCTTTAGAGAGAAGCTGGGGAACGGGGAGGCCAGGTTCTTACCAGATGATCTGCTTAAACATTGAAGTCCACAGCACTTCTCAGACTTGAATATGCATGTGAATCACCTGGGAGGTCTAGTTAAACTACAGATTCTCATTTACTCAGTCTGAGGCAGATGAGCATTTCTAGCAAGCTCTCTGTTGGTGTTGCTGCTGCTTGTCCACACACCACATTTCGAGTAGTAGTAAGGACCAAGAATGAAGTGACAAGGGCTCTGGGGGTGGAATGTGCATGGCAGATGCACTTGATAGCAATAACTGAAGCATACCCTGAGAATGACCCTGCGTGCAGACACACCTGCAGGCGGTTGGGAGTTCTGAGCTAGGGAATAGGGTGGCTAACCCAAAGATCCATTCCCTATCTATGAGGAACATCTGAGCCCCTAGCCCATTGTGAAGTGAATGCAGGCCAGACAGGGGATTGAGGCCCTTTGTTTTGGTTTAAATGAAGGTTGCCAGGTGGAGGTTGTTAGGGGGAAGAGTGCTAAGTGAAAATACAATATAAACTGCATACTTTTTGCAAGCAGTTGCCTTTTTTTTGTCCAGCCTGCTGCCACTGGGCCGTGCAGTTATCCTGTCCAGCCCACTGCCATTGGACTGTACGTAAGGTGGTTCTCCTGCCTAGCTTGCCACCACTGGGGTCGCTCCCCTTTATGTAAGCCCCCGACAAAACCCCTTGTCTTGTTTACTGGCTCTAGATCTCTTCTTTGCCTTCTTGAACTTGGCGCCTTCCCCACTGGAGTTGATAGGAGCTCAGCACAACAGAAGGAAGGCTGTAACTGAGTGCCAGAGACAACAGTGTCTTACAGGCTTGTGCCCTGGAGGTTGGCATAAGATAGTGATAAGGAGAGACAGTGTGAGTGGCATGGTTGAGTCTCACAAGAGTACAAGGGAGTAATTTTGCAATAGCACTAGGAAGTGAAGGATTCAGTGACTGCATGTCCTTTTATGCCTATGGAGAGGGTGCAAGAGAAAGCAATTTCTACTTTTGGTCTGGAAAGGAGAGCAGTCTGCATACAGGAGAGCTGGGTTTCAGTTAAAGCATAAGTTGTACAGAATATTCAGTAAAGGGGAGTTTGCAAATCATGGAATCAAATTTAGGAGAGAGTCAGGAATTTGAGGGATTTGTGGAAATGAATGTATAGGGGAATATGAGTAAATTGAGTTAATAGTTTGGACAGGAAATGAGGACAGTAGAGATGAAATCAGCTGGTATCCTGGAGGTTGGTAAGCAATCAGAGAACTTAAAATTCAGCTGCTTTCTGTGGGGCAAGTCTCATAATCTGGTGTTAAGAGGAAGGTTTGCGAGCTTTCAATTTTAGTAGTCTAATGAACTGAAGTGGGCACCAGGTTGCTCTGCACTGGTGAATAAATGATGACTAGATTCTGTAGTTAGAAGGGTATACTATAAAACATTACCTGTTTGGTGGTATGTTCCCTGCAGAATTTGGAACTTAAAGGCAGAAGTATAAGTAGAAAGTAAAAACTACCCAGTATTTACTTTTACCTCTAAATGATACCAGATGTATAAGGCATATTGAGTTAGGGCTCTCTAAGGTAGAGATAGATGACCATGATAATTTTGATCATAGATATTTCATTGAAGTATCAACCTACTTGTTTCAATAAAATTGCCATAGAATAAACCAGAAAACTAAACTACTTGAAATCGACTTTATTTTTTCCTCTAAGGGCAAAAATTGTAAATATTTTGTAAATACTGTGTATGTGTCACATTGAAATCTACTGTATCTTTGGCAATGCTTAAGAACTGTATCACATTATTTGTTAACTTGCATTAGTCAAGGAAATCAGTTGTGACTTGCTGTAATAATGTTCTTTTGTAGCTTTATTTACTGTATGCTTTGAGACTGGGCCTCATAATTTTTTCCCCATATCTTTGTTTTTAGTTTCAGAGACCACTAATGATTCAATAATACATGATGTGGTTGAAAATCATGTTGCAGACCAACTTTCATCAGACATTACACCAAATGCTATGGATACTGAATTTTCAACATCTTCTCCAGCTGGTTTACTGGAACGGCCAACCAATCATATGGAGGCTCTTGGTCATGACCATTTAGGAACCAATGACCTCACTGTTGGTGGATTTTTAGAAAATCATGAGGAGCCAAGAGATAAAGAACAATGTGCTGAAGAGAACATACCAGCATCTTCACTCAACAAAGGAAAGAAATTGATGCATTGCAGAAGCCATGAAGAGGTCAATACCGAATTAAAAGCACAAATAATGAAAGAGATCCGAAAGCCAGGAAGAAGTATGTATAATAAGAGACGAACATTAGATCTGATTTCTGTATGTGCTCAAAAAAGCAAAAAAAAAAAAAAAAAAAGGTCAAGTAACTGTAGTAAAAGAATAGATATGATTCTAGATCTGTCTTGAACAACATCTCAGTTAAGATTCTTTATTCATCTGACCAACACTGAATATCTTCTATTTCCAAGGTACTAGGTATGGTAGGCAGCAGGGACTAAGAGCAGAGCAACACTGTACAGATAAATTACATATAGTTCCTACCATGACAGGAACCCATAATCTTGAATATTCTTCTGACCAACAATGGAATTTAATATAGCAGCTAGCTCACAAACGATATACTGAAAATTAAATTACTTCATGTCTGTAAAGTTCTTGTCATAGCGCCTACCACTATGTTTAATAGTTAAACTATGATAGTGATATTATAGGATATGTTTAGGCCGAAAAACTAAAGTTACGAAAGCTATCTGGTATATGAACACAAAAGACCTTCGTGGGAAAAAGTTCAGTATTATTGGCATTCATTTAGAGGATGTTAACACATCACTTGCCCTGGGGTAGTACAGTGACCTGGGTGGTCCAGAAATGGGTACAAATCAGTCCTTGGAGTTTAGATGTTTATAGCCCTTGCAGAGTTTCATATGAAAACTTTAAACTGGAATAACACTCTTAACCTGTTTGGTTTTTACTCCCACTTCCCACTTACCCCATGTTAGCTGTTAGAATTTTAAACTGTAAGGATGGAGTTTTGTAAAGGCCACTTGTTCTTATTTTTTAGTGATACTACCAAAAAGCTATTTACTCATCCTTTTAAGCTTTATGTTTGATAACTTAATAGGAACTTTTACTTACAAAGCAGTGTTTGATTAGTTGTTTTATCTTTGTTGCTATGTACTTTTACATATATGTTAAAATATAAAATCTCTAATGAGTGGTGAAATTTTTATGTAGAATGTTTTTGTCTCAGTATATCTTAATATAATAAATTGCAAAAGAAGAATATTGAATAAGAATACAAATGAAAGGCACTTAATTTTTCTTTTTGCTTCTTTTGCTTTAAGAATATGAAAGAATCTTCACTTTACTGAAGCATGTGCAAGGCAGCTTACAAACAAGACTAATATTTTTACAAAATGTCATTAAAGAAGCATCAAGGTAAATAAATTATTGCATATAATGAAATGGTGAATAAATGAGTCCGCAGTTTATACAGGCAGTATTTTAACAGTATCTGTTTTGCACTTGTGTTGTTTATAAATGTATATGGCATACCAACATATAAATAAATTCTTACTCTTTTTTAGTTTATTGAAAGAAGTTCACTTAGAAAACAGCCACACACACATTCTTCAGGAATTATGAACCTTTTCTCCCTGCAAATTACTAGATACTTGGAGAATTCTTGTTTATTCTTCTCTGTAGCTTTTTGATATCTTTACATTAATATTTTGCAACCTTTAATTTTTCTCCTTTATGCATTAATATTGGTGACTAAAAATAACATATTTGAATGTCATTTATTTTTACATGGGAAAGCGTAATTAAGGGGACCAGAATTGGACAAATGGGCCTTATTCTGATTGTTTCAGTAGCCCAGGATCATTAGTACATTGGCCCTCTGTATCCCTGGGTTCCACATTCACTGGATTCAAGCAACCACAGATTGAAAGTATTTGGAGGTGGGGAAATGGATGGTTGTGTCTGTATTGAATATGTACAGGCTTTTTTTTTTCTTGTCATTCTCTAAATAATTCAGTCTAATTCATATAGTATTTACACTGTGTTAGTATTATAAATAATCTGGAGATTACTTAGAGCATATGGGAGAATGTACACAGGTTACATGTAAATATTGGGCCATTTTATACAAGCGACTTGAGCATTCATGGATTTTGGTGTTCATAGGGAGGCCTAGAATCGATCGATCCTCCATGGATACAGAGGGATCACTGTATAAAGAAGGTGGATAAAGGTTATAAATGGTAATTAAGAAGTGCAATTAACTGGAAAACATAGTTGTATGAGTTTAAAAACATTTTTTTATTTTCCCTTCAATATTTTGGGGATTTTAGTATTATAAGAAAACTTGGGGCTTATCTTATTTGACCTTCTAAATGTAAACACACTTACACCTTGTCCCCCTGTCTCTTCTATGCTACACGTGAAGATTTTAGATAAAGTTGGTTTTTGTTTCTAGTTTTCTTTTCTTTTCATACTTTTGGAGTGGCTAGAGCATAGGCCAGTTTGCAGGATCAAGATAAGGCTATAACTTTTCATATACTTTTGAGTATTTAACCTATTATGGTCTTTATGGTAACATTCTGTCAGCTAAAACCTCATTAGGAATTTATATTCCCGGTATCTGTACTTCACTTCTGCCACCTTTTAGGGAATTGTGTAGTATTACAGTGGCTATTTATATTAGCTTCCAACTAGCAAGGAAGTAGGAATAAAATGTCCAGTGTCTTGGGATATTCTTATAACCATCGGCAATTATGTAGACGCAATTTTAGTCTGCCCATATTTGTTACTGAAAATCTTTAAAAGTTGTAACTTGAACTTTAACTGCTTGCTATACTCTGTATTATAGATGTCTATCCTTGATTTGCTAGCTTTCAAATTATAATAGAATACCATGGTTTTTAAATGCTACTGCCCAATTTTCATTTCTTCTTCCATTTTGTGGGAGTTTATATTCATACTTTGTTCACATTCCTTTCAACATTCAGCTTACAAAGAGCATGAGAAGAAGCTATTGAAGTATTTGCTTTGGGAGCCCAGATTTCACCAGAGTGTTTGCAGCCCTTGAATATATTTTGAATATATTAGTTTTTTGATTTTTTTGTTTGTTTTTTTCCTTTTTCTTTTCAGTTGTGGAAGGAACAACCTCTTTCCCATTGTTTAGGTATAGAGTGTTTTAGGGACAAACTAAAATACTGTACTGGTATAATAATTTGCTAATCTTTCAACATATTTTCTATTTTCATAGTATTGATTTTTCTATTTTCATTTCACTTTGAAAAATCTTCCCCAAGCAATTTTCTCTCCTTTTTAAAAAAAATTATACTGATATATACTATTCATTAAAAAGTAATTGAGAGTACTATTTATTTTTTCATACAGGTTTAAAAAACGAATGCTAATAGAACAACTGGAGAACTTCTTGGATGAAATTCATCGAAGAGCCAATCAGATCAACCATATTAATAGCAATTAAAAGAAAATAGAATGTGGCCACTTATTTCACTATCTTCTTCAAATACAAAGTAAATACAAGACTGTTGTGATCTTGCATTCATTTTCTGACATGCATTGTTGGCTATTTGAAATACTAAAAGCAAATCTACAGATCCTTTTTCCATCATTTTACAGTGACCTTTTCTTCATTTTGGTTTATTTTTGTAATGTGAAAAGTATCACTCTAAAAAACATTTTTATTTAACAAACTAAAAATATTCCTCCAAATCTCTTGCTTGTCATTGACTCTTGCGTGTCAATTTCCCTCAGGTTCTATTTTCTTAAACCAACCTTTAAAATTGTCACCTCTGTTAAGGTTGAACTTTGCCAAAAAAAATTAAAAAGAAGTTACTTTGTAATTTTTGGGGAAAAAAGCACATACATTAAAACTAGGTAATGTTTTGTATATACAGTTATTTTGGATATATTATTGTAAGTTGTACAAATGTATTTTGAAGAATATTTAAGAAAAGCACTTTTGTTATTCCATCAATAAATGCTCTATTTTACTCTTGTGTGGTTTAGGAAATAATCACATTTAAAGTAATCATTTAAAAACGTCCTAAGATAATGGAATTTTAAAGGCCTTGCTTTTTAGCATTGGAAAAATACACCACTTGAAGTTCATGTTTGTTAAGCCTAACTGTAATTACATGTTACATAATCTGCATTGCCTTTTTACTATATGTTTGTAGTTTTTGTTGGCCATGCCAACATACTCCCATTTCTGCCTAGATTATGGGAATGACTTTGTCTGGGGCAGATAGATACTTTAAAAGCTATTTAAAAAGCAGACAACTTTGGATATTATTGGTTTCCTTCAACACCTTTTCGTTTCTCACTAGGATTGTGGGTGGCACAAAGTTGAAGCTGTTAGGGAGTGGTAGGTTTGGAGTGCACTACATACTCTGAAATATCTAGCCTTTAGCAGTTTTATGCCATGCTTGCAAAAGCCCACAACAAATTGGAGGCCTCTTTGTTCTGCTCTGCTGTTCTCACACTTAAACTCTGTTTTATTTATAAGCTAAATGGAAAGGAAACACCTTTAAGATGACTTTCCTCATTTTGCATCCCCCCCTGAGTTTCACAGGATAAGGAAAACCACAGTATTCATTCTCCACCCTCAATTCAACATGGCCTAGAATATCCTTACTGAGGAAGCGATCTTATGGCCTGACTCACTCACCATTCATAGATCACTGCTGTGCCTTTTAGTGGTTTGGGGGTAACCGGTAGAAAAGAAGGTCAAAATAGATTTGGATTAAGAGTAGGCAAAATAAACTTATAAAATTTAAAAACTGAAGTATTTTTAGGTTTATGATATTGAAAACCACATACCCTTAGCTTTTTACACTTTATCAGAACATTTTTTAAATTTCAAGGGTATAGCAAAATTATAACTTTATGAAGAAAAGCATCGATGAAAGTGGAGAACATGCATTTAGTCTAGGGGATTTGAAACTCTCCCGATACTGAAGACAAACCCTGTCAAGAAAAAGAATTTAATATTATATAGTATTTTCATATGCAGTTCTTTAAGCTTTGTTTACGTCTATAAAAATACTTTTAAGTAATGCAAGATAACATTTACTAGGTGGAATTGTTAAGGTAATTGCCTGTAGTCACATTGCTAAATTCAATGAGAGTTACACAAAATCCAGAATATATTGTCTGTTCCTAAATTATATGTATTTAGATTCTGGGATTAGTAGGAGGGATTAGAAGTCATTCAGATAAAAATTCATGCTTAACAAGAGTATCTAGGAAAGAGATTCAGCCTATCCCAGTATTTAGCAGCTTTCCTTATAAGAAAGTTTTATTTTCTTTTTCACAGATTGCTCATGACCTTTAATACATTTTTCTGAATGAACCCTGGAGGGAGGTGAAAAGTAGCAGTTTTGTTCATCTCTTCTTTTTGTCCTTTATCTCTCTGCCACTGTTCTCACCTCATCCTAAAACCTGGTCAGGAGAGTTTGAAACCTATTAGAACCAAAGGTTAATATCCCATCTCCCTCAGACTTTTTTCATTTAAAAACAAAAAACTATGGGTATATTAAATTAGTGAAAATACTTATTGTAGAATTACTGTCGGAAGGGGATTACATCTAGGGGGAACATCATGTCTTTTAGGCCCTTTATGTCACTGAATGACTTATGGCTCGACAAATGATATTCTTGGAAAGTTTAATCTTGAGGTTTTCAAATCTTTTTTTTTTTTAAATGTCTCCCATGTTTCCCATTTGCTGATTGATTCATTAGTTGGTCTTAGTAAGATTTGTCAGTTTGGAATAATGAAGGCTGAGACTCATTTCTAAACTCTTCCATAACCATCACCAGAAAAGCAGCCACTGTGTTGTGTGATGTGAGCTAATGCCTCCCAGATAGAGGTAAATAAAGTCACAAGGGCTATTAGAATTCCGGTGGATTGTGGAACTGGTTTTGGATTATCCTTATATTTTCATTCTGATTACTGAGGCAGTTCTGAAAACGCCTACCATTGAAATAGTGGTGTGTCTTTTCCTTGTTTAAGGATTTTACATCATTTTTATGCACTTGAATTCCAAAATCAGAATCTCTCTTTTACCTATCAACCTTTATTGGCTATTGGCTTTTGGCAATGACCTTTCTGTTCAAATGTAGTCCTGTCTCTTTGTTTCTTTAGGGAGTAGAACCTGTCCTTTTTTTGATCTTTCATTTTTTTGATGTGTCCTTTCTGAGAGAAGGCTCTCTGCTGCCTGTTCTGGGTGATAAGTGATATTTTCATCTAATCATTATGGGGTTGGGATGATCATGGTGAAATACTAGGAAGACATATTCTGTTGATGGACTTTTTCTCCCCAAATAATCCCAAATAGATTATTTTCTAGTGAATGATTTATATCTTTCTCGTCACAAAAATGTTCCTTTGATTTCTAGCACGAGGTACAGCAGGATGCAAATGATTCTCAGATAAAATGATGTTGACAGTATTTCCTTAACAATTTATGTAAAACTATGCATAATTTTCATTATCCTAACTTCTGACATTTTTTCTCCATAAATAAAAATAATGCCTGATGTTTAGTTAAAGTAGATCCACCTTTGCTTGATTTTATTAGTCTTGTTCTATCCTATTTCTTTTTAATACACTGTTTAGACTTGCCAACAACTCTTAACTGAGAATCTCTTTTCCTTCCTAGGCTAAGTAATTGTGAGTGGGGGAGGAAGAACATTAAGAGAAATAATCTAAAGACTGTTCAATGTTGTCGAAGCCTAAGGATATTTGTGTGTCCTTCTGATGTACTGAGGCTTTGCCGGTACCACACCATCTTTGGATTACCATAAGGTTATGTAGTAGTACTTAAAAGTACTAGGGCAAACATTTGATTTTTGAGAAAGATCAACAGAACAGTATAGAAATCCAGGTGCATTCATTAGAATACTAGGATCACAAGAGGACTACTCTGGTATACTCTAGTGACCTGAAAAAAAAACTCTAAAATGATAAGAAAGCTAGGGGACAAAGGGAAAAAAAGGGAAAGATTTATAATTTATTTTGCTTTCATAATTTTTCCAAGTATCTTCAGAAGTAGAAATCTATAGCATTTTTTAAAAATCTACATTAACTATATATGAGCTGAGAGAATGAGAAGGTAAAAAACATGGAGGATAAGTTTCTTTGTACTTATGAAATAGTTCCCTTTCTTAGGATACAAGACAGCAACTGGGAAGCTTCTGAAGCACCATAAAAACAGCTAGAAAGAATGCTTATTTTTGAGGGGATAGTGGACAAATGAGCCCTTGTTGCTAGAGAGACACTGATAAATAATTTATCTGAATCCTGTCAAAAAACACTGTAATACCTGTGTTAGGTTCTCTCAGGAAATAGATGAATGGCCGATCTGCTTTAAAAGTAGGAATCCGAGACCTTTTCAATAACAGCAGAGCTGCAGGAAAGAAAGAAGAATCCCATTGCATTTTCTGTGCATTTTTAAGAAAATAACTATTGGTTATGAAGTAAGTTATATACCATTTTTTAAAAGAAATCAAAGCATCCTAATGGCATTTCATTGTTTACTGTTGTGATGGGGGTGCAAATGGGAAAATTAAAAGATGCCATCTAGCCAATCCTGTCTCCTGTTTTGAACACATTCCATGGAATAAATTCCTTATTGAAGGTAACTTTCAGAATGATTTTTATAGGATGGGTATCTCCTCTTCCCCATCATTTTTCAAAAACTTTTTATTTTCTTTAGTGTTCCTTTTTAAAAAGTGCTATACCACACCTGAACTTGGGGGTTATGGAAAGATTCAGAAGTGTGAAGATTCAACTAGGTAAATTTAAGAAAGGTAGATATGGGTGAGCAGTGTGACTGGGTATTCTCTGTTTGAACATACCTGTGGCTCCAGATGCCTTGGTGCCTTCCTCCAAAACTTCAATCTTGGCCTTGTGGATTGCTTCAGAAACATAAAAGCCATCTTGGCCTAACCGCAGAAAATGATAGAAATGTGAATTGCTCATTAACATTTTTCTAACACATTTAGAACACATTCTTTAAAAATGTACTTACAAAATTTATAGTATCCAATGCTGCTTACTGTGTAGCTAGGGAAAGAGTGGAAAATTCTCGTTTTTGTTTTTACTGGAGGCTCAGGTAGCTGTTTGGAAAATTCTTAAGGTTCAATATGTTACCAAACTTTCAAAGCTTTTAATTTGTTAAATATATGTAATCTCTCCCAAAATAATATTCAGAGCACTGCCCCATTTTTTTTTTTTTGGTGGTTCATTTTCAGAAATGATTTCTAGTTAATACTACAATCCCTCCTTCAGCCAGTATTTCCAAAACTTCAGTGATCATAAGAATCACCCAGCTGTGTGTTAAAATGCAGATTCTGTAGCCCAGGAATCATTTTCACCAAGCTTCAGAGATCATTTCCCTTGAGTGTCTTTTTGGACTGCATTTTAAGAGCCACTTTAAAATGACAAAGTCACAGGATTTTATCACAGGCTTTATTGAGGCACAATTCAGAGTAATATGAATGTGTCTAGTGTTGCATGACTGCATTCTGTATACTTAGGTGTATCAGTTATGCAATTAATATGCCTCATGGGCTAGAATCTACAAAGCAGAGCAGTTAGTATAAATGTTCTATGTGCTAAGTTTCACAGATTATAAGTTTAGCAAATAGGACTAAGTGATAATTTAGAGGAATTGGCTGATTTTTGTAAGCTAATCATTAGCCATTTTTAAACAGCTCCAAAGACGAAAGGATACTTGATGACACAGTAAAAAATGAAAGATTTAGAACCAAAAGAAACTTAAGAAATCATTCAGTCCAATCCTTTCATTTTAGAGTGAGCTGTTAACTCATCTGAGATCACACACCTGAAAAGCAGAGTTGAGAATATTCTGATTGAAAGCCCACTCCCATCCCACCCCTCCACTCCACTCAAACATTCCCACCTTTCAGAAAGTGTATGCTAGTCAACTCCAACATGCCACTGGGAGGTATCTGTGGCATGAATGTTAAAATAATCAGTTTGATGAACACATATGTGAGGGAGCTTTGTTTCATCTTAGACTTAACGCTTAAATTGGTTTGTGTTTGTCACGCACATACGGGAGATAGCCCATGAATGCCATGAGAGAATAAAACCAGACCAAGGTAAAGAATATGCGGCATTCCATCCATCTTGTAAGTAAGGTGTGCACAGAATGTTGTGAGTTGGCTATATTCACTGTAAGGAACAGGTATTTTCCAGCATCAGTGAAGGGGACAGGAAGGGCCAGAGGAAGTAAAAATCAATAGAAACATTCACTAGTGTCACTTGTCCTAAAACCAGTGAAGAATTTGATTTATTTTAGCAGTTGGTATTTTTCTGTAGGGTCTTTAAGAAACAAATTTCACTATCATTAATAATTATCCCCTCTTACTAGCTAATTAAGCAAACTGAAATGCAGTGCCAAAGTTACAAAGAGAGCTTTAGGGTTAAAGAATGGTTATTTTATGAGAGTCATGAGAGGGTTTTACTAATTTCCATGACTTCATTACCATATAGGATGGTGTCTGAACATTTTAAATGAATGTTGGTGATATAAGCAGAGATTCACTACAAAACCCCTTATCAGCTAACATGTCTCTGTGTTAGTCTGGGCACCTTGGCAGTGTGAGAAATGGGACCAGTTGATGTGGATGAGTCTGGTTAGATGGTCCAGGCTATTTCAGTATTTTGAAACTGCAACTGAAGAGTTTCATTTAAATGGTTTCTCTCCATCAGACTATAAGAGTGGTCCAATAATTGACATATGTTTGCACAGCCATAAACCAAGGTCCATAGCCTATGCATGCCATGCCCCAGCATCAGCATCTTTTAAATATTATCTCTGGTAAGAGTTGACATTTCAAAAGACCAACATATGTGATAAAAATGAGAATTTGGGAGTCATCTGTGGTTTTGCATTTTTCCTACTGCTTGATCTTATATTACAGATTCCTATTATTTTTTATTGAGTACCTTTTGAAATATTTCACAACTATTGAACCTAGAAGAAGTCAAGCACAAAGGGATTCTCCTGGTCTTTTTCTACTCCCCTGAAGTGTTGACAGCTGCTTAATGCCATTGAGGGGCATACACCCTGTTTTCCCAAAAGTTGTTCTCAAGATTGTTTACAGGTGGCATTCTATAAAAGGATTCCATGATTAATTATATGTGGGAGATACTAAACAGTTTTGCACTCGTGTTTTCAGTAGGGGACTTCTTAGAGCTGCTAATCTGCTAACTTTTATAGTGGATCTCTACGGGACAATTATAATACGTGGTGTTAAACCATGGAACCACCCACACCATTCTCTGTCCCAGATTTACAGGATTAGCATTTTGGGAACATACTGTGGGAAACTGTAGCCCACCATAAACCCCCTTGCTCCTACAATACATTCTGTATACAAAGCAAAGGGGTGATACTCTTCCTACCCTCCTTGCTGGCATACTCTCCACTCTTCTTCTGTAACATCTTCTAGGGTGTTTATCTTCCTTTTTAGACTATTAGCTCCTAGAAAGCGTAAATGATGTCTTAATCATTTTAAATATTTCTTTGCCCAACTTACATTAAGAATACTTGGTACATAAATGTGTTTAGTAAATGCTGGATGAATTAATAATAGACACCCCTTACCACTATACAAATGGCCTTAATGTTCTTTAACCTTGTTAAACTTGTAAGGAAATGCCGATTGGTGTTTGTAGAACCATAAAGGCATGGCATAGGATGGGTCATCTGCAAGTCTCAGCCAAATGATTGTTTCAGTGCTTTGTTGGTGGAGACCATTATTCTTTGTGTGTGGCTGGTCATACTCAAAAGTTTAAAAGGTGTGGCTGGTCATACTTCGTAACATGATGTTGTATAAACATTGTGTCCCTACATTTAATCCTCAGCTTCTCATAAATCAGGATAAACATATCATTTGCTGTTTTGTCTTTACAATTATTATTTTCTGTAGGCAGAGTTAGTGGCTTTTAAAATGTTATTGCCAGAACTTGTTTCTAGTTTATCTTTTTCATCTTGTCACTTAGTTGCTAACACTAAGTGTTGGGGAGAGGAGGAGAGAGAGAGAGAGAGACATAGTACCCGGCCCAGGATAGAGAGAGAGAGTGCTAAGAAGAATCTGAAATGGCCTTTGAAATTAGGCTATGGTTAGTTGCTTTCTCCATTTGTCTCCTCTAGCCCACTCCGCACCTCTTTCTATTGCAATTCTGACCAGACATCTGGTGTGGCATGAGTTAACTTATGTAACTTCCATACTCAACCAAACAACTCTGGTAGTTTGTTCATTTAAGTCATAGTAACAGAGAACTTGTACTTCTTACCGAGCAGAGATTGAAAACTACCTACTTACAAAAGCCAAGAAGAAGACAGTTTCTTCAGAGTTTCAAGTTTGTGCACAAGGAGTATTTTGTGGACTAGGAGGCATGGGTCTATATCAAAGCCTGCTGATCCTAAAGCCAGCGGGATTGCTTAAGAAGAGTACCTTTAGCTGGCATCTTCAGTGTGAGTGAAACGGGAATTACTCTTAAAAGCTGCATAACATCTAG